ATTCCTGCGGAATTGTAAATTACCGACGTCACGGTGATATCGAGATCCACTATTCATTTTGCATTTGCGATGTATCTGTTGCATTGGTCGTTTTTGAATGGCACTTCGCGCCGTCTCGACAGCAATGAAAGTTGCTAACGCCACTGGTAGATTGCAATGGGCAAAAAGCATTCAGGACCTCGTTTCCTCCGTCAAACGACGCAACCTTGAAAACTATTAGCGCACCGAGCAATGAGGATCATGGGTAGTGGAGCAACCGGAGATGTTATTCGAGATAGTAACTAGGCGTCCGCGAAAATAAAGAATCTGGACCATCCAGGCTGGACCGAGTTCAGAGAAATCCAAATAGAAGTCGAAACCTACGCGGGTATTCCTTTAATCCCGCTATCTTCCCGCGAGAATCGAGATTTCTGCCGTAAGCTATATCGCTGGCCATCGACGGTCACTTGGTATACCTTTTCGTTAAATAATTCACATTTTGAAAGCTCTGTCGATCAAATGATAATTACTAATAGCGTCCGCGGCGTACACCCTGTCTCGTTGATAAGTCGAAGTGTGCCGATCAGAACAGGGTAAATAGGGTTGTGGCACGAACATCCGAATGTTCGTTTTGCCGTTTTGCAATATGCTGTTCTTATCTAACTTTCTGTCGTCGCAGAAAATTACAGAATGCGGAAAAATGAACAATGCGGTGTAACTGTGTCAAACATATGGAGGGATACGAAGCCTGTATCGCAGCAAAATTATAATAAACATGGACGCCGCGACCTAGGCGGCGCTGGCATCAATCAAGATGGCGACGTACGCCTCGCGGGAAAAAGTAAAAGGTAACGACGTATTTGCACCGAACAAAGTATCTATCGCGTATTATCGCTAAAAAATTTCCTTGCCATAGCCAGATTTAAATTTCCAATCCACCATCCCGCTTTTTCTACCTCGAGGGATTCCGGTTTTTGTTTACCCGATTCTCGTTTGCTCTGTTCGCTTAACAGCGTCGTAAAATCAATCGCGTTTTCGAGGACGTTACTCATCGTTAAGAAAACTATGTCACTCATTACGCCCAGTTAGATAACCAAAAGTAAAGATTCAGAAAGAACGAGAAAGCAGGCAAAACCTGTTTCTGCTCTCCTTGCGGATCATCAAACATCATGGTGACCACTGCAGCCTCCTGTTTTCTCCTCGCTGTTACGTTTCTTCCGTGAACCATCAAATCACACTTTTTGGCACTCTTATTTCAACTGTCTGTCATCGGTGTCGCGATACCCGCTGCTACTTTGTAGTTTTAAAGCGCAGTTTATTCCCTCATTAACCCAGTCCGTTTAAAGTACGTGTGCTTAATTGCAATTCGACCGAAAACCGTTCAGGAGAACTGCTCCTCCGACCAAGGGTACAAACCGGTCTCAAAAGGAGGCTGGCTTTGTATCGTGTGTTACCTTACTTGTCACGTGGCAGAGGCGTTAAAACGGAACGACTAACTGCTTCATTTTGCATCGTGTCTATACACGTGGGTCGTATGTTACCATGTGCAATCTTCGAGTCAAGTCAGGACGTCGTGTTCGTTGATCAGAACCTATCGAGCTGATAAGATCAGCCGGAGAGCTGATTATTATACTGGTTCGGGATTAATCTGTTCACTGGAACAAATAAATTCAAATAAAATTATATCCACCAATTTCCGTGATTATCTGCGAAATTATCTATGGGACAGTTTATAACCTCTCTAATCCCTGATCACCGAAAAATTCGCCGATATCACTCTTCGTTTTAATTCATGTTCCACTAGAACAGAGATCGACGAGTTAATTCACGTTCTCTCCGAGATATCGATTTTTATCATCGATAACGAAACACGTTTGACATTTTTGCCAAATGCCACGCGTTCTTGACATTGTTGTTAGACCTGGTCTAACATCATAGCCGGTTTCATTGAGAGCGCGCGCGCGCAGACAGAGCCTCCATCACCGTTTCAAACGCTGCACCGCGCGGATTCAAGCTCCAGTCTCTGTGCAGGATTATCTAAGCCGTGGACCGGTACCCCCACCGACCTAAATGCACCACATATAAATGGTCAAGACACCTTCTAACCACTGTCAGAGAGCTTGTGGACTTAATCTCGTCTTCCTCCGTCAGCAGACACGAGCCGTAGTGCTCACGTGTACTTCTTCGACCAATTTTTCCGCCATCGTTGCAGCAGTTAAACGTTATGGAAACAGGGATCGTTCGTGCAGATTCATGCATAAGATAAAGAGGATCGTGTGAGTGTTCTCGATCGCTGGTCCCCGGATTTCCGGTCGCGGGGGATCATGAAGTGGCCACGGGTCGAGTGGAAATTTACGTGGTTCGAGAGGATTCCTTGCGTCCTGTTGGTGATACTTTTGGCAATACCTGGACATGTCTTCGCGTTCGATAATTCCACCGATACGTTCGTCGAGAAATGCCGCGTGGACTGCACTTTGCACAAGGATGTTATTCATTGCGGAAGGTACAGGGTCGTCAGGTGGCTCTACGACGTCGTAAGAGAGAAGGTACGATATCGTCTTAGCGATTTCGACGAGTTTTGTATTCACGTTAGAGTCGGGGGAATGCACTATTAGGTCCCTAGAAATTTCACGCACTAGTTCCGAATATAAGACCACGCTGCTTAAACCGAATTGCACCGACGTTATTTGGCATCGAGTTATTGTCCAGCGAAAACTGCACAATCTTTGCCAATTTTTTCCAATCTTTTCCACATGCTTGTTATCGGCGAAGACACTTTGAAATTAGCGGAGCTAACGAGCTGTTGACTGAAACTCAGCGTAACGATTCCGCCGCAGACTATTATTATCATTCACGTTCGTGCAGCGGCGAGAGTATCGACACACAATCCCCTAGCATCCACGCTACTTTCTTGAACTTTTACTTGTTAATTAACACCGTTGACAACTGAATCACATTGACGCGGTCTACATGTCCCGTTAATCTGCGACTTGCGTTTTTCGCATTTCGTAACATCGGATAGCAGAAAATTGCCAACGAGCCAATAAACTCTGATTAATCGCTCTATTAGGAATTCAGCTACGGACCCATTCGCGTTGTCAGAATCTCGGCCATGTCCGAGCAGTCGATCCTCCCGAAATTTCCCCAGTCTCGAATCTTCAAGAGCGACGCCATCGAGACGTTGAATTTCATCAGAGACATCGCGGAAGATCTGCTGACGAAACGAGTCGTGGTTTACACCATTGACAACTCTGTCACGGCCAGGAGCCTTGGCAGCGCGCCCATGATCATGGACGAGGATGAACTTAGTCAGATGCGCAGTGGGAAAGTGCCCGAAGGTAAGCACGCTAGCAATTTTCAGCATTTAATCTGTATAAACCATTTTTGGACGCTAGATCTGCTAGATTAGATAATTAAAAGCAGAAGAATTTTAAAAAATGGAATAAGAAGTAATATTTCGTTAATAATAATTGGATAACGTTGAATACAGAATTTTTAATGGCACGATTTTTAATAATAATTATAGCGTTGCAATGAAAATAGTCAGGTATCGCAAAATTATTTATTTATTTATTTAATAATTATTTACAGGTAGTAGAACTAATTAGTGTATAAACAGAAAATTTAAAAATACATCAGTTTGTTAGAGAGAGAAAGAATATAGGTTACGTATGATACAAATGCCAATATAGTTGATATAAACAATTTGCTTAGAGATTTATTGTATTTTTGTTTCGATAATTTTGCCAAAAGTAATTTTCATATATTTTCATGAACTGCAAAAGTAATGGAGTACAGAATTTTTAATCGCACGATATTAATAATAATTACAGTATTACAATAAAAATAGTCAGGTATCGCACGATTATATTCCTGTCTAGAAAATTTCGCCAAAAATAATTTTCATATATTTTCATTAATTGCAAAAATAGTCGAGAATAGTATTTTGAATCACACGATATTAATAATAATTACAGTATTGCAATGAAAATAGTCAGGTATCGCACAATTATATTTCTGTCTCGATAATTTTGCCAAAAATAATTTTCATATATTTTCATCAACTGCAAAAATAATCGAGTACAGAATTTTTAATCGCACGATATTAATAATTATTACAGTATTGCAATGAAAATAATGAGGTATCAACCGATTATATTTCTGTCTAGAAAATTATGCCAAAAGTAATTTTCATACATTTTCGTCGACTGCGAAAATAGGGACTCAAGATTTAACCCTTTGGACTCGAAGATTTCTTCGTTGCGAAGATGCAATTCGAAGCTCTTCTTAGATTTTTATAAGCTCACTGATACTCTTCATGCTAAAATTAAAAAAAGAAAATCGTGAATTTGCGTGAGAAACGAACGAATAGAATAATTTTATTTCGATGTTCTTAATATAATTATCATCATTTAAGTTATAGCATTAAAACAAATAGTGCCTGAGAGTCACCTCTCGAGTGCAAAGAGTTAAATTTTGACACTGGTTTGGCAGTTCTAGCGTTAGAAATGGTTATTCAGTCAGTGTTAGGCTCACAATAGCGTTAATTCGAATCAAATTTCGCACAGGTAACTGGAGGCTGCTGAAGAAAAAGAAATCCATAATCCTGCCAATTTTGATCCTCTTGAATCTACTGAAATTAAAACTACTGCTGCTGCCAATCTTCCTCAGTATCCATTTTATTAAGAAGCTTCTGCTGCTGGCCTCGCTATTAGCTCCGTCGATCCTGTCACGTCTGAAGATCTGCAAGCTCGCGCAACCCCACTCGCAAGCCTACCCCTATCACACGTGGTCCACGGCTGCTGAAGGGCCAGTCGACTACCCGACAGGTAAATAAACCAGCACGCCTTCGTATTTCCTGTGTCACGCTTCGTTATTTCGGGACGACGAGGATTACATCGGAAATTATAGAGGTCACGATTATAGAGGTCGCGGTTCCGATTTAAAGGGGTCGGAACGACCGTGACGACCGATCGAAGTGCCCACTGGGAACTGTAATCGTATCAGTGCCCGATGACACAATATTCTCTTCCGCTGCCAATCAACTACAGTTACATAACACTCGACGATTCCTTCGACGTGAAATCATCGAGTGCAAGACATTCCAGTGATATTTCGCGTAGTATACCGCGTCGATGATAGTAATTCCGATAACCACAAGTCTTCTCCGGAATATGAAAAGCTTTCAGGCTACTCGAGCGTGACGGTCGCAGTTCGATCGGCTCTGTCGACCGACAGTCGCGTGTTCGTGATCGGGATTCGAGACGAATTATTTGGAACTGTCACGAGGTGTCATTTCATCCAAGAATAATCCTTTCCCTCCTCAGGATACGGGCAGGACGAGGCCTGGTCGCACCGGAACGACTACCAAGGCAACGTGGCTTACATGGGCTACCACGGCGTTCGCAATCCTTACGGATGAGGCCAGTGAGCATCGAAAATTCGTCGAGCAACTGTTCCCTGTTCGCCAGAGCGAGGAATCCCGAGTAGACGAACGACGATCGTACTCCGTTTGCTTTCTTCTCTTAGCAACTTTCCACTGCGTTCTCCACGCGCTCGGTTTCTCTCCCGCCACTCGCTAATCTTCCATTTCGCGCACATAACCGTCCTAATCGGTCGAGGACAAGTATAGTTCCTTCAGCTTCTGTGTACGCAATGCTCTGCTATGCCGCAACCTGGGCCATTTTCGGCTATAGCGGCAGACGTTGGAAGCGAATTTATAATAATATTACCAATGAAACGGACATGGTTCAACCATCGGGGAAGTCAACCCGCGCTTGACCCTGTGTTAGCTTAAGGACTACGTCCGGGGAGAAACCCGATATTGGCGTATTACTCTTGGTACTCGTACCACTTGAGATCTGGCATGGATATGAGATCCAACCGATGGTCTCCATGGTCCGTTACCATTCCCTGTTCCTCGAACGCATGGGACACCACCCACTGGACCCCAAGTGGACGTCGTCACCAACGAGGAGACGACGTAAGTGGACTTTGCCGATGTGGGCCTGCCAACTTCACCGAAGTGCCCAGCTGTTGGAACCATCAGTTTCATCGTGGTTTCTGGCGTAACCCATACACCAGACCCCACACCAGCTTCTGCCCTCATCGGACGAGGACAAATGTAAACAGGTTTCGTTTAGCGGTGATTATCGAACGCGCTCCTCGATGATGCGAAATATCGTCGCGAGAAATGACTTTCACACGCCGACCGCTACCGTTAGAGCATAAGGTAACGAGCAGTCGGCTATCGGGTATCGGAGTCACGAACACGCGTTTCTTTTTTCCACGGGATACATCGTAGTCCACGAGTGTCGCCGTGGGACACGCGAGTCTGTAGCGTTGTTTGCGAATCCGTCGAGTACCGTAAATCTAAAGGAATTCCCGAACAACAGCGCCTCGCGTGATGTCAGTGACGGCCACTTCCGGGACGCGAATGGGAGTACGGGGTTGAAGCATGGCCGTCCGTGAACACGGAGACACGTAGTTTCGAGTACGCAGTGAACGATCGTCGGTGTCTAGGTAGATTTCAGACGGCTTTTAGTAGCATAAGTGTAAACGAATAAGAGCACCGTTAAAACCACTCGTAGTGACATAATAGGGGTTAGGGTGGTGGTAAATTGGTCCTCGAGGAGGGCTAGGTAGATAGATTAAATAGATAGGTATCCTTCGAGTAACGTGTCTGAAGGTCAAGAGACTGCTTATTCATACAGGAATGGCTGTGTAGCGTTTACCATAATCGCGAGGGTATGGCCCGGAGTGACTCTCTATTGAAGAACAAGCATCTAGGTAGACACGACTCACGCTTGCTTCTTCATCCTAAGTTCACCAGTAATCACTATTCTTCCTCTTCTACATGTATTAGGCTGTCCCATAAGTTTCTTCCTTTTTCTTTTTCATGCGAAATCAATAGACGATATTTGTTGTTTAAGGTTGATTTACTGTGTCATACATGAACCGTTTTGCTCTATTACCTTCTTCCATCTCTTTCCAAAATTGTTGAGACTTACTTGCAACATTGACGAGGTCCGTATCCGTCGTTGCTGGGCGACTACAGCGGTCTTCATCTTTCGAATCAAAATTGCCAGCTCTAAATTTCTTCAACCAATTGCTAATGTTCTAATAGTCGTAGTACCACTCCCATAAACGGTGCAAATCTCGTCTGCAGTGTCCTATGAAGAATAACATGCCGCAAATGCTTCTTTTGGCTATCCATATTGAACAGCGTAGAAAAAGATTTTAAAAGAGACTTTGTCACCAACGAAACGTACTTTGAAAGAGCTACGAGACGACTGAAATCGATGCTATAAACGGACAATAGATAAGTCTGCATGTTAACAAACATAGCCGGCTCGAGGACATACATAGCGTGGCGCGGAAAAAAACTTATGGGACACCCTAATTTAATATATCACGAACCCAGTGTTCTCGATAACAATGCACCAGTTCTGCCGTACCCGGGTTATACGCGTGTACCGGCAGGTGTTGACAGTGAACTGCCTGACTGACTCTTCGTCAGATGTAAGGACGTTTGTTCTTGGACCTCTATGACCCCAGTACCTAGACAATAGTCCAACCAATCGAGTTCACTGTTTCCACCAGCGAATCCGGGGCCCAGCAACGGGCCATTCCCTCGAAACTCCCCCTTATCGCTGTCAAAGTTCGAGCAAGTTGCACTAGCTGAAATAAAAACTGCATAAAGTATCGACCTCTCACGAGTTTACGAATATCCCTCTATACCTGGCTCCCCACCGCGAAACCGAGTCGACTCATCGTGCATCGACTCGTCGAGGCGTCGAGATACAGGTGAGCGCGGCGGTGGTCAAGGTCGATTCATTGGAAACTCGGAGGCGGCTGACCTACTGACAGATTTGGACGGTCGCCCCGGCGTGTGACGCGCGCTTCCGCACGCGCGTGCTGACCCATGCACGCATGCACGATCGGGGACCGTTATAGGGCCCCGCGTTCGAGGCGGATGTGCGGCGCGGTCGTCCTCGCGCTCGCCGTTTCCGCGGGCGAGTATCGCGCCCCGACCGTTCCACGCGATACCAGTTAATCATCCGCCTCGCTAATAACAATGATCCATGCGATCGGCCGAAGCGGTCGGGTCGGCGATCGGCGCGAGACGCAGCGGACACGCAGCCTGCACTCGCCATAACTCGACCGTTACGTTCGTTCGTTAGAAGCGGTAGGGAACGGAGTATTAACCTAACGGCACGTCGCGTTGCGTACTCCCGATGCTCGATGTATCATGGACGGAATTGGTAAGATAAGGCGAAGGTAGATGAGGGAACTAGGTGATCCAGGGGGTTGCTCTTTGACAGTTCGTCACGAGTCGGATGGATGAGAGAGTGACGTGCTTGGGTGAACCGAGATTAGTATATTATTTCGTTATTTCTTATAATTAAAATTTCGCAATTTTTGACAGCGTATGGGGTGAATTGCGAACCGATTTTGGATACAGTGAGTGACAGGTGTACTTAACGCGTTGACTGCCACGCAATTCCGGGCTAAGAAGACAATTCGATTTAATCATGTTATATTATTAACCCTTTGCACTCGACGACTTTTTGGCTAAAGAAAAGTAGAAATTCAAGGATTCTCTAGTAAAAAACTGACGATACTTTTTTGAATAGTAAATGAAGAATAATATAATAATAAAATTGTAGAATTATTTGATTTCGATACCTCGCACACTGTTACATTGCATTAAATTTGATATATTAATTAATATCGATCTTTCAAATTTTATGAAATGGTGACTGAGGGTTACTTCTCGAGTGCAAAGGGTTAGAAACTTTATTTATGGTACATAGTAATAATAAAAGAGCTTAAAAATTTTTTTTCTTTTTTAAAGAAACATGTTACGAATTATCTCGTGGTTAACGTGCAAGATTGTTTTAAAAATGATCGCAATCTATAAAAATGTTATTCTGAATGAATAAACTTGTATAAACTTTTTCTTTTTGAATTATACTACAGTTATACTAGGGATTTCTTCGTAGCTGTACAAATATGGCAGATAACGAAGGAACGAGATATCTCGTAGTTGGCAGTGAACGTGTTAACTATGAACGATTGCGAAATTTAATTTAATTCTCGTATAGTATAATATTGTAATTTATTTCTTGTATAAATATTCGCACCTCTCCTAATTATTCAATTATACGAACCATCACTTTATTATAGTGTACATCTTTTAATCTTCCTTCAAGAAAATTCCTAGCTGCTATTACCTGTCAAAATATGGCTTTTGGATTTCTTTCACACGGTTCACATTCTCGATTTATAGAAAATTGCTTTGTAAGTCATCCAATATGATCATCTACCTCGGAAGTGGGGTAACACAGGTATAAGGTAGCAACACTGGAAAATTCTATTTATAATATGATAGTTAAGCGTTTGGCTAGATTTATGGAATCGCGCATGTCACGGCTGATTCTTTATATGTCAATTGTCAAGTACTTGCCAGAGGCCGTGACATCGTAATGGATCACGAGGTCTTCCACCTCGTTTTGAGTAAACGTTCGCGAAAGATTGATGAGCATATGCAAAGCTGCACGGGGGACCCGGTACTCGAAGTGGGAGTGGCGGAGCACTTTCTAAAACCGGTTGACTTTTTTACGTTTTGCTCGTATTTTTTGAGCTTCTTCTTTTTAAATTGGGTACTCGGACTTTGCCCCCGTGCGCGACGAGAGACGGTCGTTTTCTGCAACGTAGAATGAAATACGAAGTTGATAATATGGTAAATCATTCTCTCTCGAGCTATTCGAATTGAAATCCGCACGCGTGTATTATCTCCTCGATCACTTTTAGAAATTGCTGAATTATTCATCGCAGTGGCGCTATCAGCGACTTGCCAGTGGTACAAAGCAGCCCATTAATTAGCGATTCACCGTGAATTCTAGAAGGTTACTTACCCGATTGAATTCCCAATTTCGAGCAAATGGAGAGAATATGTATTCGCACAATCGTGAATTGCAATTTTATTCTTTAACGGGCACCACAGGCCATTATGCATAATGTAATAGTCCATTGAGAACAACAAACAATTTTAAATTTCTTTTTTAAATGCACAGATATTATTCACGACGGTAATCTAGTTGCAAATCATCTCGTTTACAGATTGAAATTTAAACCTTTTCATCTCACTGTATTTAAATTTCGAATTTATTTATTCGTAAACGGATTGGTAGGCCTTTATGCACGTAACCGTGTAAACATAAAAAGGAACGGGAGAACAAAGGTTTTATCATTTTTGGAAAGCCTGTGTACCTGTAAAATTTTTAAGTTATCGTATATTTAGTTTTCCGATTCCAATCAATTAAAAAATTTAATTAATAATTAAATTGACAGCCGATGAAATTTCTTTATGTAGAATTTTATATGGGAATACTGGTCATTTTAGACACGCTGAACTGGTGATATCACTTGAGATGCAGTTAAGATAAATAAATTAGGCTGTTTCTAGGTCTTTAAAAAGCACTTGGAGATTTCTAACTATGCATAAGAGATAAGGAAACACGCGTGACGTGGAAGATTTCAAAGTATTACGAAAAATAAGAGATACAGGATGGAATATTTTAACTAGCGATGGTACATTGATATACTTTTCATAGTTTCGTGGATCCGAACGACCAACTTTTTGGACCACCATCGGCCATTTCTGAAATGACATTCGTCTGCCCGAAATCCTCCAAAAAGGAAGAGAAACGAGTGGTTTCACGACGACCCTGATTCCGAAAGAGAGACGTCTTTATTGCCTAGTTGTGGTCACGTCATCGAAGCCTAACGATGTTAAATCGTCGATAAATCAACGTAGGCGTCGATAAGTCTGCGATTTTCCACTCGTTTCACTGATACTTCCGCTACCGATCGGCGAGATGTTCGTCGATTACTTTTACTCCCACGAACCCGCTTCTATCGGAACGATTTCACGGACTTAAAATTCCCGTCGCGTGTCCGATCGAATTTTCCATGGCTCCCAGCGAAGCACGTGAGCACGATCGAGGATTTCGAGGAATCACCGGTCCCCGTCAGGGAATTCGGGACGCGGCCCCCAGTGAAATCGCTCGTAAAAGTGTGCGGTGCTCGGACTGTATTCGTGACCGGTCTTGTTTGACATCCACGAGACACCCTTTTCTCCTGATTAACGTCGTTAGCGCCGACGTTTTTCCACTTTCATATCGAACAACGAGCTATCGAGCACAGGTCGAGACTTATCCGACGAGGAGGATGCGCGAGTATCGGTGCCGGTTTATCGTCGCGATCTTCACGAAAAGGAGAAAAAAAAAAAATAAAGCCAAAACCGGATTAGCGGCCTACTTGGGTGTCCACTGAAAATACCTGCCGATATTTATGTCGATGGTGCAACGACACTGTAGGGATACACGCGTGGAATACCAGTGATTTTCCACGAGTTCCACGCGGTTAGGTGTCACGTGTCCATCGATCCTGATTAGATTTCTCCTCGCTTATGATCGCCATAATCGTTCACTCGCGAATTTCTGCCTCGCCTAGATGATCGTTCGATGCAACAAACTGGAATATCAGCGCCATCGTTGATTCGAGTAAAATAGGTGGAGCTGGATCATTTTTACCCTTTCTTCTATCCCGATTAATTCACAGTAAGCAAGACACATCGAATTTTAACGCTGACATACTTTCTTCCAATTAAATTACCTCACAAGAGTCCATATATTGTATCAAAATAGACTGCCAAGTTTAGCACGACCTCGGGCGGTGAAGAGTCAACTCTGGATCGGTAACGAGACGTGAAATCGGGTCCTAAAACACGACCAAAATTACACTCTAAAGTACCAACATTAAAATATATAATTTATTTGCTGATAAAAGATATTTCCAATCCGTAAATAATCATAGGGCGTGAAATCAGCTTAGTCAATAATGGATGATGAATTTTCTGCTAGTTACTAATTAAGAGGCTATTAAACCGATGCGGTTACGACGCTTAAAACGCAAAGCGTAATTATCAGCGATTAAATGGAAAGATGGAAGTTGAGGCCAGAATTAAAACGCGGCGGAAGAGTAAAAAGATGGGAAGAGAGGAGAGAAAAGTTGGAGATGGAGTGTCATCAGCCGAAATTCCGGCCGGTGAAATCGGTCCGTCGGTCGTTAGACCCGCGTCGAATTCGATCGGATTTGAATCGGACGAGGAAGCGGCCGTTCACGCGCCAGGTAGAGAGAAAGACGGCGGCGTTGGTCGGCGGGAGCGGAACCGACGAATGAACGAACGTGGAAGAGAGGAAGGTGGAATGGAACGGACAGAGGGACCGACAGACGGATGGCCGGGTAACCCAGATCGGATCAGCCCAGCCGATCCTACGGTGTCTCGCCAGTCGTATCGAGTCGACCGACGCGCACGATTCCGACGTCTCCATCGTTCCTTCCGTCGGTTCTAGCAGTGCTCGATAATCATTCCCCATCCGATTGATCCGGATCCGAGGAGTCGCAAGAAAAATCGCAAAACTTCTCCGTATCTCGCAAAAACCATTCGAAAGCCTGCGTTCGTTGATGTCATTCCCGTGCCGTGACAGTGAGAACGGACAGTCTCGTGCATCTGGTGTCTCCCCTGCCAAAGACTCTCATTGGGACTTTCCAACGAGCCAGACGATCTTAACACGACCATCGATCGAGTTCCACGACTTTCAAGGCCAACTCGTTCTCGGTAACTATCCTTCACTCGATCGTAAATCCTGATACCGTCTGTCAGATACCTCTGTCTACCTCTGACCGAGGAGGCCTGGCTCGAGATCCGTTGTACGAGTTCCGCGCTGCTCTTATTGTTCCAGGTGACAGCGAGCGAACCGAGATGCAGTTATCTTTCGGCAATAAAAGTAGCTAGCCGAGTGAGAGAGAGTCGTTCGAGAGTGCGTTGGAAGCAGTGGGTCGGGGAAGATGGGTGGATCGAGAGGCGGCGCGATCTTGCTGATCCTGGCGGTCGCGTGGCTGCGGCTGGCGGTCGGGGTCAAGGACCACGTGGCGGCCTTCAACGAGACCGGTCACCCGGCACAGGTGAACGCGATCGAGAACGAGGTGTCGTTCACCAGCGACGAATCGCTGCACCCGCACGGGATGCCGGGCAAGCCGACGAAATTCGACGCGAACATTAATCAGATTATACAGACGGACGACAAGTCGCAGTATCAGATCGAGGCGACGCGAATGGAGAACGCAACCGTGTCTCCGTTGGGGTCGACCGGTTGCCCGGAGGACGAGACCACCACGACGACGACGCCCTGCGTCAGTAAGGATCTGACCGACCTGCTCGACAGGTTGTCCAGGATCGACACGTACAACGTGACCGACTCGGTGCAGATCATAAGAAATCGGGACGTCGTCGCTAGGAAAGACGAAAAAGGTAACGACCGGCCGGACTCAAGCCTACTCGATAAAGTTCGCCGGTACGCCAGAGAACACGTGGTAAAGATACGTCTGAGCCAGGACTTAATACCCGGTAGAAAAGCTAGAACCTTCTTCAACGGTGAGTCCACGGAACGTGTTCGTGTCACGCTTTCGTAACCTCGCACCAGCGGGATCCGCGGGTTTCGCAGGCTGCGGATGGTTTTGTTGTTGCTATGGACCTTGTTGACTGTCCGCGGACCGATCTCGATTGCTTTGTTCATGCGACTCGCGCTTCGAGCTAGCTAAACTGGGTCTTGATCGCAGATACCTGTCATTACGTCCTATCGTGTCTCCTATTCCACTCCTAGAGTCTTTTAGCGACTCGTAGCGTTTGGAATCGTCCCAGGGTGTGACGTTGAAGGATTCTTCGAGCACGATCCGTACGATGATTAACGCTGCCGAGAAAGTAGGCGGGTTCGCGCGTTTTTCGAGTCTACTTTCCCAAAACAAGAAACACGGCTGTCAAAGAACAGTCGAAAGAGGAAAGTAAGCCTCTTGGGCTTGTCCGCGGCTGGAAACCTGCTTTCTGTTCCTTCACTTTTACACTAGAATCCTTGAAATCTCGATTCGAGGCTGATCAGAAGCGGAGGACTGGTTTCGGCTGTAGGTCGCTGAGATCAAGGCCCAGTCGCGCTATTGGCGGAAGATTGAAACGGGAAGATAGGTGTGCAGGTACACGCAGCCCTCGCGACGAGGCTCGAAAGCACGCGTGACGAACGAATGAACGATTTCGATGCGCTTTTCACACATCACTGATTGGCTTTCCGCTAGAACGTGCTAAAAACTGTTAGCTTTGGTCACCGCTGATTGGCAGGAGTTAGGGAGATTCGACTTCACCCACGAGCAACACCGACGTCGCGTACTCGCGTCGACTCGAGACCGTGTTGGCCACCTTTCAGGTGTTTCATGTCGAGTGATTTTCAGCCAGAAACGTGTCTGCCCGTGTGAAGTAACTGACGATGAGATGGCGAGAGAGAAAGAGTGATATGCTGGCTGCAGCATGGCTTACAGGACTAACCACAGGGCTTAATTCGCTGGTACTTTTGCTTTCAGCCATCTTTCAGGGAAAGA